TGTCTGAAAATTGACCTGAAGAAGCCTCCACTCAAAAGAAAGAGACATCAAAGAAGAATAAAGAGGAACCAACATGACCCTAGCTCAAAAGCTGATCTCATGGGAAGATGTGAAGGAGCTGACAACACATGCTTCATGAATAATTTGACTCTAGAAGGAATAAGACCCCATTGATGATGGTAGCTACAGTGATTGCCCTGCTGGGCTATCAGGTAAAAGGGAGTTGAGAAGACACTTACTGGACATATTTCCCAGATCCACCCCTGGTACATCCAGCTGTGTGGACTGGAGAATCTATTCCAGTGATTACTAATGACTCATTCATGATGGGAGGATTTACAGATACTCATATTACTCCCAATCATGTGACTAGATTTAATTATTCTGGCTACAGTGCCCAATTGCCTTTGTGTTGGTCCTCCAATAAACATGCTGGATATCTGAGAGTATCATTTGAGGAAAAGACAGCACTTGGGAAACCTAGACTGATTAATCATACCATTTATGGAGACTTAAAACCTTATACTAGATCAGTGATCAAAATGGGACTTTTCTATAACAAACCAGTCATTTCTGCAAAACCTCCATGAATACCTCATTGTCCTAATAGTTTTACAATTGAGATTGATACCATTCCTAAATGGATAGATTGTGTAAATACTTTTCAAGTATCCACATCTTCCCATGATATCAGTTTTCCAGTACAACATAAGGTGTTTAAAGATAGTGGGTATATTTTAGACTGATCTCCAAAAATTGATAAAAGACAATTATAAAAAAGTTCTGCTATGACATCTGCAGGATTTGTTAGCAATATTTTGATTTACAGTGAGGGTGGTATTCAAAAAGATGTTTGTCCCTTAATTGGTGCCTCGGAATTCTTACATTTTACAGACAAGCCTTTACCAAAATTTGTTGGCAAGAGCTGTAAGGAAGGATCTTGCTATGGCTTATGAGCTTTTGTCCAATGTCCTTATATTTTAATAATTAGAAATGTAAAAGTTAAATGGATAGATGACAGATATGTTGTAACAAATGTAACCTAAACAATTGTATTACTAGATATAATAGAAGAAAAAGAATGCTGGTACTTCATCAGCCCTCTTTGTTTTATTGCCTGCTAATATTTGAGAGCCATGGTATGTTGATGCTGGTTTTCAAGTCTTACAGCAAATTCATACCCAGCTAGTAAGACCTATAAGTGCCATTGGAATTATAATTGTGGGAATTATGGCCTTAGTTTCTTTCATTGCATCCACCATCACAGCTTTGATAACTTTATCTCAAAATATTCAACATGAAAAATTTCTCAATAATTTAGCCCAAAATACTTCCAAGGCTCTGTGCAATCAAGTAAATATTGATGAAAGGATTGAAACTAAGTTAAATATCTTAGAGGCAACTGTTATAACTATAGGTAATGAACTTTCAGCTTTAAAGTTTAAAGAAAGACTTAAATACCACACAAGTTATAAATATGTGTGTGTTTCAACTGCCAAGTACAATGCTTCTCTCTGGGATTGGGAGAAGGTTAAGAACCATTTGTTGGGTATTTGGCAAAATAATAATAATAACTTGGATCTTTTGGAACTCCATCATCATATCCACGATATTCAAAATAATAGAGCTGATTTTTCGGATCCTTCTTCTTTAGCTAATCACATATTAAAAGAATTAAATGGATTTAACCCTGGAAATATTCTTAAACACCCATCCTGGTACATTATTAGATTGTTCTCTTTGCTGTTAACTCTTTTTTGTGTTGTAATTATAGAATGGCGAGTCTTCAGAGCAGGAGTGCAGAGACTCAAGAGAGTAAATCATCACCTGCTTTTTTAAAAAAAAAAGGGGGGGGAAATATGTGGGAGGCCATCCTCACTGTGATTTGAGTTGCCTCCCTGGCTAGGTGAGAGGTGCTTAGACACAGGTGTGTCAGAGCTTTCCCCACCCTTCTCCAGGTCCAAGGGCTTGTCAGTGCAGAGATGTGTCTGGCCACTGCCCCGAAAACCCAATCATTGTCCCTGACTTTGGGATGCTGACCCCCTTAACCTTTATTGGATGGGATTTCCCCTGGAATTTTTTGTTCCCCAATAAAAGTCCACTCCCTGGCATGTTCTCTCTCTCTTGCTAGCCTCTTCAGTAAACCTCGCTACCACATTAGGTGGTTGGAGGCTGGAGCTAGAAAAAGCCATCTTGGAGCTGGTTTTAAAGGTAATTAGAGTCTTGTCTCTTTAATTTAAAACTCCCTAGCGTTTTCTCATGAATTGAACCTTCTTTAATGAAGCCAGCACTGGACACGTGGCAGAATATATTTTACTGTCATGTTTATATTGTGTAGAGGAGTATATGACTCGTTTGTTGCACAATAAATATTTGTTGACCCCCATATCACCAGCCGTGACTTCCAAGGTCTTAGCTGACAGTTTACCACAGCACTGGGGCTTAAATGTGACACACTGTGGGGCTGCAAGTGTAACTAGATCTCTGGGGAACTGCTTCTGGTGAACAGGACCTGGCTGGCTGGCTGACAGGAGGAAGGGGGGTGAGGGCCAGAGAAGTGAAACAGCTCTGGACTGAAAAATCTGTGAGACTCCCAGGAGACGCCTTACAGGGATTGCTATGGGCAGGTAGAGAGCAGAAGCTCCACTCGGAGGGCACAGCTCAGCCTACTGGAAGAGAAGAATATTGATCTCTAAGACATATATATATATTTTCTTCTTCTCTCTCTGTTCCTTTCTCCCCTTTTCCTTCTCTCTTTCTTTCCCGTTTCAAATTTTATTGTTCTTTTCATTCTCCTCTAATCTATCTATCTCTCTCTCCTTCTTTCTTTTTAAGAGCACCTTCATTCCCCTATCCCCCAACTTTCATCCCAAGCATTACGTCTTCCATTACGTGTAATTGTCTAAATTCAAATAGGTGAATGTCTCGAGGCTGTCTATAGGGCTCCTAAATACCTAGCTACTACCAACACCCTGATCCAATTGCCTGTTAGTATCCACTTTCAGTAGAGCAATCTTCTAAAGTAGCCAAGACATACTAACCCTCGTACCATCATAGCACCTAACCTAAACATATAGTCCTAAGAACAAACAACAAATCACTATATGCATACAGAACCTGGAAGCCTTTTATGAATTGAATGAATCAGCTTTAAAGTACAATAAAGCCCAACAGTTCTAGGCATAATCTCCCACCACAAAGGAAAGACAACAGAGATATACAAAGCCAAAACAGATGTATAGGAGAAAGCAGTTACAAAGCAGTCAAACAGAGCTGGAAAGTAACGTGAACAACATAAAAAGACAAGGGAAGAAAGGACTACAAACAATGCAGGACAATTTAAATCTACAGGAAGACCTAGAAGCATCAGAAACATGGACAGAGAAAGAAATCAAGGCATACTAACTCAGATGGAATGGAATGTTAGAGAAGACATGAGACAGCAAGTCCAAGCATTGAAAGTATATTTTGAAAACGAACTAAACAAACAAATTCAAACTGCAAAGAACAAGCTTTACCAGGAGATATAGATTTAAAAAAAAACAGTAATCCTAGAAATGCAAGAAACCATAAACCAGATTAAAAACTCTAACAAGAATATTACAAATAGACTAGATCAAGTAGAAGTCAGAACATCAGATAATGAAGACAAAGTTTATCAACTTGAAAAGAATATAATCAACACAGAAAAGATGCTTAAATCTCATGAGCAATCTATCCAAGAGATATGGAATCTCATAAAAAAAAAAAACTTTGAGAGTCATTGGGATAGAAGAAGGCACAGAGTTTCAAACCAAAAAAATGGACAACTTATTAAAGGAAATAATCCTAGAAAACTTCCCAGAGATGAAAGATGGAATAGATTGCCAAATCCTGAAAGCCTATATTAAAAGCTATGAGAGAAAAGAGGCAGATTACATTCAGGGGTAAACCAATTAGGTTAACGACTGATATTTCATCACAGACTTTGAAAGCGAGAAGATCCTGGAACAACGTATTTCAAATGCTGAAAAATAATGGATTCCAACCAAGAATACTGTATCCAGCAAAATTAAGCCTCAGATTGACAATGAAATTAAAATCTTTTACCATAAACAAGAGCTAAAAGAATGCGCAGCCAGAAAACCAGCACTGCAAAGCATTTTGAGCAAAATACTAAAGGAAAAGGAATTGAAAAATAGTGCCCAAACAGTGGGAGGTATCTCAGTAAAGGGGGAGAAAAATAACCAAAGAGGAAAAACTAGCCAAACTAAAATAAATAAATAAATAAACATGACTGGAAGTACAAACCATATTTCAATTGTAACCTTAAATGTTAATGGCTTAAATTCACCAATCAAGAGACATAGGCTAGTAACCTGGATTAAAAAAAAATCCAACAATATGCTGCCTTCAAGAGACTCATGTGATAGGAAAAGAAATACACAGGCTGAAGGTGAAAGGTTGGAAAAAATCATACCACTCACATGGCCCTTGGAAGCAAGCAGGAGTGGCCATACTCATATCGAATAAAATCAACTTCAAACCTAAGTTAATCAAAAGGGATAAAGAAGGACACTATATACTGTTAAAAGGAACCATTCACCATCAA